AATTAAATTGTTTATTTGCACTGAGATAAATCTTTGTTCTTATCAGTTAAGCTAAGTCAAATATGGCAATGTGTTTGGATTAAATGTACCTGCTGGAACATCTTTCTGTCCACAAATGTGTTTTTATTCATTCATAGATGCTATTCAGGCTTTCAAGTCCAGTTTGTACATGAAGGTCGATCACCTGTGGCAGCCATCTTCATTTGGTAGGTGTATATCTAACAAATAATTTCTGAGACTTTTCTTGGGGCAGCACGGTGGCACAACTGGTAGAGCTGCTGCCTCTCAGCGAGCAGGTCCCTGGTTCAAACCCCGGTCCAGAGTCAGAGTCGGAGTTTCTTTATTGTCATTCGCACCTCATGTGGTACATGTGGTGGAGCGAAATTATGTACACAGGGTCCCAGTTACATCCAACAATAAAATGTCTAAGAAAAACAGTAATAACATCTAAGATATGAGCTAAGAAAAACATCAACTAAATATACACTAAGCACTCATAACATAAAAACATTGAACATCAGCACAAACATGAACATGAGTCTGTGAGCAGATGTGCACGCATGAACACATCAACATTGAAACAGATCAGCAGCAACATGAAACAGATCAGCAGCAACATGATATGGTTTTTCACAGGGATTATTCTAGTTAGATATTCATGAGTCTAACAGCCTCAGGGTAGAAGCTGTTCCTCAGTCTAGTGGTTCTACACTTAATGCTCCTTAACCTCCTTCCTGAGGGGAGTGGGGCAAAAAGTGTGTGTGCTGGGTGGGTGGGGTCCTTCATGATGCAGGTGGCCCTCTTCCTGCATCTGGAGGTGTAGATGTCTGTGATGGTGGGAAGACTGATTCCAACAGATTTCTGTGCAGCCTTCACCACTCTCTGCAAAGCTTTTCTTTCTGCAGCTGTGCAGCCTCCATGCCACACGTTGATGCTGGAGCACAGGATGCTCTCCACTGCACACCTGTAGAAGGAGGTGAGGACTGAGCTTCCCAGACCAGCTCGCCTCAGCCGTCGGAAGAAGTAGAGTCTCTGATGAGCTTTCTTGATCAGGCTGGTGGTGTTGTTGCTCCAGCTGAGGTTGTCATTCATGTGTACACCCAAGTACTTGTAGCTGGAGACCACTTCCACCGCAGATCCTCTTATGTTCAGGGGGGTGTAGATGTTTTTGTTCCTTCTGAAGTCCACAATCATCTCCTTTGTCTTCTTCACATTGATGTGAAGGTTATTCT